GGAGTCGATCCCATTTACAATTACACCCAAAACTATAAGATACCTAGGAATAAACCTAATCAACAAGGCAAAGAATCTGTACTCAGAAAACTATAATGCTCTTATGAAAGAAATCGAGGAAGACACAAAGAAATGGAAAAAACATTCCATGCTTATGGATTGGAAGAACATATATTGGGAAAATGTCTATGCTACCTAGAGAGATCTACACATTTAATGCAATCCCTATCAAAGTACAATCAACTTTTGTCACAGAAATGGAACAAATAATCCTAAAATTTGTATGGAACCAGAAAAGACCTGAATAGCCAGAAAAATGTTGAAAAAGAAAAGCAAAGTTGGTGGCATCACAATTCCGGACTTCAAGCTCTATTACAAAGCTGTCATCATCAAGACAGTGTGGTCCTGGCACAAAAACAGACACATAGATCAATGGAACAGAATTAGAGAGCCCAGAAATGGACCGTCAACTCTATGGTCAACTAATCTTCGACAAAGCAGGAAAGAATGTCTAATGGAAAAAAGACAGTCTCTTCAGCAAATGGTGTTGGGAAAATTGGAAGACCACATGCAAAGAAGAATGAAACCGGGCCATTTCCTTATACCACACACAAAAATAAACTCAAAATGGATGAAGGACCTCAATGTGAGAAAGGGATCCATTAAAATCCTTGAGGAGAACACAGGCAGCAACCTCTTCGACCTCACCCGCAGCAACATCTTCCTAGGAACATCACCAAAGGCAAGGGAAGCAAGCGCAAAAATGAAGTATTGGGACTTCATCAAGATCAAAAGGTTTTGCACAGCAAAGGAAACAGTTAACAAAACCAAAAGACAACTGACAGAATGGAAGAAGATATTTGCAAACGACATATCAGATAAAGGGCTCATATCCAAAATCTATAAAGAACTTCTCAAACTCAACACCCAAAGAGCAAATAATCCAATCAAGAAATGGGCAGAGGACATGAACAGACATTTCTACAGAGAAGACATCCAGATGGCCAACAGACACATGAAAAAGTGCTCCACATCACTCGGCATCAGGGAAATACAAATCAAAACCACAATGAGATCCCACCTCACACCAGTCAGAATGGCTAAAATTAACAAGTCAGGAAATGACAGATGCTGGCGAGGATGAGGAGAAAGGGGAACCCTCCTACACTGTTGGTGGGAATGCAAGCTGGTGCAGCCACTCTGGAAAACAGCATGGAGGTTCCTCAAAAAGCTGAAAATAGAGCTGCCCTATGACCCAGCAATCGCACTACTGGGTATTTACCCTAAAGATACAAACATAGTGATCCGAAGGGGCACGTGCACCCAAATGTTTATAGCAGCAATGTCCATAATCGCCAAACTATGGAAAGTACCTAGATGTCCATCCACAGATGAATGGATAAAGATGTGGTGTATATACACAGTGGAATACTATGCAGCCATCAAAAGGAATGAAATCTTGCCATTTGCAACAACGTGGATAGAACTAGAGGGTATTAGGCTGAGTGAAATAAGTCAATCAGAGAAAGACAAGTGTCACTGATATGAGGAATTTGAGAAGACAGAGGATCATAGGGGAAGGGAGAGGAAAATGAAACAAGATGAAACTAGAGAGAGAGACAAACCATAAGAGACTCTTAATCTCAGGAAACAAACGGAGAGTTGCTGGAGGCTGGGGTTAGGGATGGGGTGGCTGGGTGATGGACATTGAGGAGGGTATGTGCTATAGCAAGTGTAAGACTGGTGAATCACAGACCTGTACCCCTGGGACAAATGACACATTATATGTTAATAAAAAAAAATAAATGTGGGCAAAGCTTTATGCAGAGGTGTTTACTATCACATTGTTTATAATAACAAAAAATCTGTAACAATCAAAAAATACAAAATCAAGTGAGTCATTAAGCAGCACAGGCTGAATGTTTGACTTGGAAATGTCTGACTTGCAGCCGCTGGAGAGTCCGGCTGTGGAAACTATGTAATGAGTTCTCCAAAAATAAAATAAAAAAGATTTTATTGCTGACTTGAGAGGGAGAGGGAGAGAGCTCGCAAGGGGGGAGGGGAAGAGGGCCAAGCCGACTCGCCGCTGGGCAGGAGATCATGACCTGAGCCGAAGGCAGAGGTTCCACCGATGGAGCCCCCCAGGCGCCTCTTTAATAACACTGTTTAATGCTTATGATATAATAAGTGGGGAAAAGCAGTATGAAATTACATTTATGGCAAATTTACAATTGTATAAAACGAAAACAAATCCTACAAATGGGGAAATAAAGATTGACAGGAAATGCTGAGAAATGCATTCAGATGATGGAACTCTGGGTAAGTTTTAGTTTTCTCTATTTTGCCAAGGGTTAAGTATATTCACCGATTCTTAGAGTGAAAATATGTGAAATAATATTTAAAATTGTTTTACAATTTAAAAAGAAGGAAAAGGAAACATGGTGCATTGGACTTCATCAAAAGCCTGGCTCAGAGTTAAACAAACCAGGTGAAACGATGTTCAGCATCATGGCAGGTGCGGGAAAGCAGGTGGCAGCCACCGCAGGAGGGCCCTGTCCCCACTAGAGTGACGGTGGCCCAAGGCTGTCAGAGCCCGTCAGCGCTGACCAACAGAGTCGTGTCCGTCGCCGCAGACACAGATGGTGCCTTAAGTGACAAAGCGCAGATCTCCCAGTCTGGAGGCTGGAAGCCAGAGACCCAGGTGTTGTGAAGGTTGGGTCCTTCTGATGCCTCTGTCCTCCATGCCCCGCCCGCGTCCCCGAAGAGCCCTTTCTCTGTGCACCTCCGTCCCTGCCGCTGTCGCCTCACACGCAGACCCATCACCAGGGCCGCCTGGTGACCTCACTTAACATGTTCCCTCCGTACGAACCCCATCGCCAACGTGGGCGCACTCAGGGTGCCCGGGTGTCGGGGCGCCGGGCGAGAAGCAGGAGGGCTCAGAGTGAGGCGGGGGCCCAGGGCGGGGAGAGAGGCTGACCCCTTCCCTGGACCCAAAATGAGCTTCTGATGACTTGGGTTTTGAGAGTGAGCTCTGCGCCAAGCACTCCTCTGTTTCTCATGTCGCAAATTATCATTTACACCCTCACAGGACTCGGACAGCAAGCTGACGTCCCCTGCCCTTGGGTAAGTGTGCGAGCGTCCCGGATGGTTTCTTCTGACTGAAAAACAGCCGCGTGCCCGTCCGACCCGCCGTTCCTGAGGGCAACAGGCTCTGGTGGAAGACCTCATGGTGCCGTGGTCATGGACTGGGGGACAACACTGTGTCCCCGAGGTCATGGGCGTGGACAGCCTCTCGGGCCACTCATCGCACTGGCTTCACATGGAGAGTTAGGGCGGCGCTCCTTGGTGTCGTCCCCTGCGATGGGAGCTGGTGGCAAGCCCCAGTGGGGTCCGCTGTTCTTCCCGAGTGAGCGGGGGCAGCGGGTGGAGGGCGCAGGCCCTTGCCGTGTTGCCACGGCGCTGGGCCGAGTTAGGGCTTGTCCTTTGGCCCCTTGGTCTTTGCGGGGCTGCGAAGTCGGCACCCGCAGCTGCGCACACAGGCCCCCGGGGGCACATGGCCTTTCGACCTTCTGTGCTGCAGGCGCGGAAAGTGGCCCTGGACAGATTGTGGCCTGGTTTCCAGCACATGTTTTAAAGGGTGAGATCAGGGGACTTCTGTCCCCTTGACCAACTGCAGCAGGACAGGTCACCCTCCCCTGCAATACTGAGCAACAGGAGAGGGTCGCGCTGCGACTGTTAGTGAGGGCTGGGTCTCTCTACACCACTCACCCGAGCCCACCTCGAGCACGGGCTCCCTTTGTCCTTGAGGGGACAGCGCTGGGAAACACCATCCTGGCTGGTCTGGAGATCTCGCGTCCTTCCTCCAGCGCCATCGAATGCAATTTAAAATAAAATAAAAAAGGACAAGGCATTTCCTTGACTCTCACCCACCAAACACAGAGACACACTGGCCTCGCTCTGGGCCCCCTTGACCCTGGCCCGGCCCCCACCTGCGGAGCAGGGTGTGGGAGAGGCAGCCCCCAGGGAAGCACCCGCCCCTCCCCCTGCACTGCCCCCTGCTCTCCCACACCCCTGCTGCTATGGTCCTGGCCCTGCCTCCTGTGGGGGGGCCTTGCTGGGACCATGAGGGGCATGGTGCTGATGGAGTCAGCAGGCCATGTTGGGGACATGGACAGGGATGAGGACAGGATCCTGGAGGGGACATGAGGGAGGCTGCCCTCTTGCTCGGAAGACAGACCCACACATGGTGCCCATGGGAACTGGTCCAGGTTCCCTGGGGGCCCCTGAGACCCCCGGGATGGTCAGGGTGCCCGGCGTCGTCCTGTACCCAGCTGGCTTCCTGTGTCCCGACCTGGCAGCCCTGACTCCGGGGGCAACTAGAACACTATTAGTCCTTTCTTGTTGTGCCGAATGTTTCTGTGGTGACTTAATGGTTTGGATCCAGGAGACCAGTCGGCACTGGAGACCCCCCCCACCCCCACCCCTGCTCCTTGGGCCTCATCGGCCATAGCCGGGGTGGTCTCGGGGCTAGAGGCCAGGCCGGTGGAGAACACGCTCACCCAGGGCCTTGGGGGGCACCCATCGTGGCCACGTGTTGGTAGAAGGTCGTGCAGAGTCTCCTGATGGTCTGACGGACCTGCGGGTTTGTTTCTCTGTCGGGGATACTCAGTTCTTGGACTGTGTGGAAACCGGCCAGACAGAATGAACATGAGTCAGGAGTACCTGTCCCACGGACAAAGCTCCTTCTGTCCGGTGTTAAAGGCTTTTCACGCAGGGACTCGGTTTTCCTTTTCTGCTGGCGGTGGAAGCGTAGGGTGCTCCCCACAGGAGCCTCCGGCCTGACTCCCTCAGGCCCTCCAGCAGCCTCCCAGGCTCTGCCTGTTCTTGAGACCACAGACAACAGGGGACCGTAGCAGGGGGACGTCCTGCTCACCCCGTGCGCTCACCCACAGGGTGAAGGCCTCCTTGGTGACGTGTTTCTCCTTCCTGTCCCGCCCTAGCAGACCCAGGCGGAAGGTGCTCCTGTCGCTGTCCAGATCCTCAGGTGTGAGCTCCGCCACCACCACCGCCGGCCCCGGGAGCGCCCTGTCACTGAAGGTGAGCCCAGGGCTGCTGATGACCCAGCTCAGACATAGGGGTGAGAGCCCGCCGCAGGGCTTGGGTCCCCCACAGCTGGGGTCCGCATTGTATTCTGAAGACTGGTTGCACTCGTGCTCCAAGGCACCAAGGGTGTTGCCCCCCAGCCAGGGAGGCCCAAGGGTCAGGACAATGCTCTTGAACCCTTGCCTTTGAGCTCAGAGAGCTCGCTCCCAACCAAGGGAACTCAGACCCTGGCCTCAGACGGCCATGCATGGTCAATGAGTCCACACCTCAGTCCAGCCTGGGACCTTCTCCTCACGTCAGGCTTGGTCCAGAACTCACATCTGATCCGACACCCTGTGTGCCCTGCTTCACGCCAGGCCTACCTCTCTGTGGGTGACCCCAGTCCTGTAGCTCTCAGCAGAGTGCTTACAAAGGAATGGGCCCCCTAAGGTGAGCTTGGACTTTGGGCCCTTCTGGTGTGGAGACATTACTGGTTCCGCACCCCAGAGTAAGTTTCTTACCCTCCCACCCCGAGTCCCTGGGTCTCCAGGAGGTTAGGACGTATGGCTGTCACTTCCCAGAGCGAGACGTGCAAGGACTCGGTGAGGGGCAGGGAGCACTGCTGCTCGGTGCTCAGCCTGGCCTGGTGCTCAGTAAACACTAGCCCACCCCAATGCCTTGCTTTAGACCTTGGTGCATATGAATCACGATCTCGTCTGGGACACAGACTCATCGCTGATCTCTGCATGACCTGCTTTCTAAATTTACTCCGTATTCTATCTTTGGTGTCAGATGAAGCACCAACCAGGTCTGTATCTGCAGCCACGCTCTTTGTTCTTGTGTTTCCGCTTACTTCTGCGTTTCAAGATCATTCCTGTTCCTAGAAAATACACACATGCAATTCATTGGCTGCTCTTTCTTTCACAGAAGGGACACAGTGTGTCTGTGATGTTTGGAATTTGGGGGAATCATCTTTTCATTCACTGCTTAGTAGTCTAGATGGTTGTTCTGTGTCTGTGCTGCTGGGTCCACTTGCCTTCCTTCTGTGATGCTTCTCGCCCCACACTCGCTCATCCCCTCTGCTGTGGGCATGCAGGACGGATGCCCCTGCTTGGGTCTGTAACCAGCAGCAAGTCTGCGTGATAAGGCCAGGGCCTTTCCTAAACAGGGTGCACAGTCTGCACTCCCACAGAAGCATATATGAAACCCAGTTGGTCCATATCCTCCTCAACAGCTGGGGCCACAAATCCAGTGGTGCCGGCCAGTGGCTTCCAGTCCATCCCAGACTTTCCCCCATGACTGACGGTGCTGAATGTGCGTTTCCCATGTAGGTTCCCCCCCATGGGAAGTGCTTGCTCTTGTCCTTGGCCCAGTTTTCTGTCCAACCCTTTTTGCTTTTCTTATAGATTTGTTTGAATTCTTTATATATTCTTAATACAAACCCCTCATTAGCTGGTTGCATTACAGATAGAGTGTTACAGAGCAACTTGACTCCATGCTTAGTTTAACCAGACGTTTGATGAGCCAGAGCCATAGCTTTCAATATACTCACACGTATATGTGAGTTATGCGTTATGCGTAACATTATGCATTATGATAACGCTTTCTGGTCTTGATTGACCTTTAACCCAAGCATCTAAGAGAGTCATCTGTACTTTCTACTACAAGTTTTCAGCATTGAATTTTGAGACGTGTGTTCTCTATGGTTCACTGGTATGGTTGGTGTGAGGTAGGGATCCAGCTTCCTCTCTTCCATGTGGGTTTCTGTTATCCCAGCTCCATTCACTAAACATTGAGTGGACCCTCTTTTCCCCCGTGATCTGTTTTCTGTATGTCTCATTTTTTTTTATTCCACAGTGCTTTCACTACTGCCTTTGTTGTATTTAGTTGAATTTGCATACTGTTTCATTTTTATACCTGTCTTCTTTCCTTCTTATATTTTTTAGTTGTCTTCTTACTGGTTATCTTGGGGATTATAATTAATATCTTAAATTTATGAGTCCAGGTTGAATCATACCAACTCAATTTCAATACCATACAAATACTCCAGTCCTATACATCTCCATCCCTTTCCCTCCATATCGCTAATGTCACAGATTACATCTTTACACATTGTGTGCCTATTAGGAGAGATTTATAATTATTGTCCTATGCATATGTCTTTTAAATCACATAGAGAAGAGGAGGAGCTATAAACTCCCAGTACAACAATCCTGGCTCATTTATTAACCTGTGTGGTTGTCTTTACCAGTTCTTTATCTCTTCTACTATTTAAAGCCTCCATTTTAGCCCCAAAAGCTCCCTTTAGTATTTCTAATAGGGAAGGTCTGTGGGTCCTGAATTCTCTCCGCTTTTGTTTATCTAAGAATGTTTTAATTTCTCCTTTATCCTCAAAAGATCATTTTGTTATATTTAGAATTCTTGGTTGGCATATTTTGTTTTCCTTACAAGACTTTAAATGTGCCTTCTGGCTTCCCTGATTTCTGATGGGAACACAGTCATTGATCTTATCGAGGTTCCTTCTACAAGACAAACCATTTCTCTCTCTCTGCTTCCAGAGTTCTCTCTTGGGTTTCTGAGAGTCCAGCAGTGCTGCACCTCCTCTGGACAAACCCTTCTGAATTTTTCTTGCTTGGACTTAGTTGAGCATCTTGGATGTGTAGATCCATACCTTCCATCACATTTGGGAAGCGTGTAGCAAGCGTTTCTTCAGATATTTTTCCCTCTGCCCCCTCTCTTCTCCTTCAGGACCTTAAATAACCAGGCACTGTTCATATTCCTTCATTCCATTCTCTCCCTGGTCCCCAGACTGGATAATTTCAGTTCTCTTCAAGCTCACTGATCCTTTCTTCTGCTCAAATGTGGTGATCTCCACTAGTGAATTTTTAATTTCACACTTATCAGTGGTAGAATTTCTGTTTGGTTCCTTTTTGTAGTTCCTATCTCTTTATTGATATACTTTTTATTTATTCAATATTTTCCCGATTTCCTTTCATTCTTTGCCTTGGCTCATTGAGCATGTTTAAGACAGCTGATATAATATTCTTGACTATTAAATGTCTGGGCTTTTTCTGGCAAATTCTGTCAAATTCTTTTTCTCCTTTGAATGGGCCATATTTTCCTATTTCTTTGTCTGTGGGGCAGAGCTCTGGCAGCGTGACAAGAGCTGCATCCTTATTCCCTGTCACTCCTCTCTCCGCAGGTCTCAGAGGGTCTGCAGCGAGACCCAAGGCTGCCTGAGTGGGAGGAAGGTGAGACACCTCACAGCCTGGGTGTGGGGGTCTACGCAGTTCATGCTCTAGAGTTAAAGATTTCCCACGGGGAGAAAAAAAGGGAGAAATCAGCGGTGGGGGAGCTGGGACACTGTTGTCAGTGACACAGAGGACAAGCTTGAGCTCACGGAGAGGGTCTGCAGACAGGGTCCCACGCTCGCCCGCCACCTGCCCCGCGTGCCGCAAGGATGCAGGCCACACGGTGGGGCCGGAGCCCCAGTGGACGCGTGGCCACCAGTCTGAGCCGTGGCCCGGAGGAGCAGCGGCCGCCCGTCTGCTAACAGGCACGCAGAGCGAGGCTCATGGGCAGTCGAAGCCGAAGGCCCTGCGCGACCTGTGGAGGCTCCAGCCCAGCCGCCCGCGCTGTCTGCCGGGGGTGTCGTCGTTCGCATGTGGGATCCTTGCATGGTGCTCCCGAAATGGCGTCTACTCGTCCAAGAAACCCTCGCCCAGGCAACGCCTCCCTTCAGAGCCCCTCGCCTGAGACCGTCCGCCCTTCACCACGCCCATGGCAGCGAGTCAGCGGCTCCTGTTTCCAGAACAGGAGGCTGAGAGGATGGCTTGATCGCGACGTGATTCCAGAAGGACTCAAGTTGGACTTAAGGATCATGAATTACAAACAGGTTTTGTGTGTGACGGGTTCCCTGGGCCTCAGGTCCCACACCTGGTCGGACTATACTGTAGGGGGTGCGCACACCGCACAGTGGGGTGTGGGGGCTCGGGGATAGTGGAGAGGCCAGGGGTCCTCAGGCCAGGGACAGAGGCAAAGAGAAACCCAGAGGAGACCCCATGGGCACCGCTTCCCTGGGGGGCTTGATTTTCACAGCTTTCCAGGAGGGACAGAGATGATCAAGCCCAGAGCACAGCCAGAATGGGAGGCCTAGAACTTAGCCGTAATGATGGCTATAGCCGCATCATGGTGGTGAGCCAGAAGGAACCCCGTTCTCCGTCCCCGTGGGATGCCAGAGTAATCAGCCATCTCAAACCTCGGGGTGAGAGGAGCTGAGAAAATCCTCTGCCAATGGCTTAGAAGGACAGACTCCCCCAAACTCCTCAGGCTGTGGGTTCACTTGGGGCGATTCTGGACCTGTCATCACCGGTGCCGGGAGCGAGGAAGAAAGGAGCCCTTCTCCCGACACACGGTGGTGCCCTCGGGAAAGCCAAGGCCGCAGCAGAGCCAGACACACGAGGGTGCCCGGCTCGCGGGCCAATCGCAAAGTAACTGTGGTCAGTTTTGGGGACAAAAGGCAAAGTGAAACACGTGAAGAGAAAACTGTCGTCTAAGTGACGAGCGTATCTGAGAACGAGTGGAAGAAAACTGAGGGCCACTGAGGCTCACCCGTTGGCCGAGGGTCCGCCGCCCGTCGGTCGTCAGCTGGGTCCTGTGACCTTCAGCCCACAGCAGGGGGTCACCCGGCACACGAAGGCAGGAGCAGAACGTGGACGACCGTGAGCAAGGCGGAGCTGGGGTCCACGCGGGGACTGGGGTCCTGGGGCGGGGGGGGGGGTGTTTACGGAGGTGCGGCTCTTAGAGTCTGGGAGCCCCGGGGCGGCAGGTCATCTTCTAGATAGGTCGTCAGTCAACCAGCAAACACCAGAGGCAAAGAGAAGGCGGGTTTTCCAACATCCGGTGACTCAAGACAGAGCCCCTTCCAGGGGGGATCGTCAACCTCACTCATCCCGAGGAAGCCTCCGCATGGGGGGCTGTCCTCCCGCTGGTGCGCATCTTCGGCGAAGGGGGAGTAGGCGTTTCTACATCAGGAAGGAGTGCTAGGGACTGAGAACGGGCCATTTTCAACGGTGTTTCAGAAGTGAGGTCCCCAGGAAGAGACCGAGCGGGAGACACGCAAGACTTGCAGAGAGACGGGCCCGACTTAGGACCCTCGGGGGAGCCCCAAGGCAGGCGGACGCGGACCCACTCACGGAGTGGACGCGGTGGGGCCGGGCGCCCGCTTGAGATGCTGCTGCCGAAATGTGTACGGAATTGCCAGGGGTCGGGAATTGCCAAGAGCCCTGAGAAGAAGGGCCGTTCAGGTCGGCGAGCTGCGCCGCTTCTGGGAAGCTTGTTGATGAAAGCCAGCCTGACCGCCGTCCTGGGGTCCCCACCGGGTCAGCGTGGAGGCCTCCAAGCCTCGAGCTCATCCGCGCAGACGCTCAGCTCCTGGCAGAGGCGGCTGGAGGAGCGGGGGCGGGGCGCTCATAGATGCTGCTGGAAGGTTTGGTGCCACGTGGGGAGAGCACGGTGGGCGTTCCAGCCCCTCCTCTTACTGTTTACACAAATGGATCTCACGTGGCCTGAAGACGTGTGCGGGAAGGGACAGCTGTGAACACTGGAAGATGATATTGGGGAGTAGCTCGATGTTCTCCTGGTGTCTGAGGGTTTGTTACGTGAGATATTCTGGAAGGCAGCAACCCCACAGGAAGACGTAAGTTCACGTGGAAATGAGGGACTTCTGGTAGTCAGGAGCCATCGAAAAGTGAAGGGTCGCACCCAAAGCCGGAGACATGTTTGTAAGTCGTGTCCATAACTGACACAGGACTAACGTCCAGAATGACCCCATGAGAAAAACAAATGACCAACGCTGAAGGGGCAGCGCACGGAAGGGGGCCCGGAAGCCGCAAACAGGAAGAGAGCACAGCTGTCCGGTTGTCGGGGAGCTTTGGCTGCAACGCGCGTGGTGGCCTGATGTCCCGTCAGGGGCGCAGGAGTCGGTCCTGCCAGGAATGCAAGGCCGGGCCCAGGATGGTGCTGGTGCACACCGCTGAGATGTCCCCCACGGGAGGCCCTCTGGGGACGCCCCCACGAGGCAGCGACTGGAGAGGGCAGGCTTGGGGGAGGGGAGCACCCGGCTCCCGCGGGAATGGAGGGAAAGCCGCCCGCATGTCTGTCTGTGGGACACACAGGGGCCCCTGGCCTATGAGGTCCTCGTCTGGGATTCTTGTGGATGTGCACCTGTGCGCTCCACACGGTCCCACAGGCGGGATGTTTCTCACGGAACATGCCCTGTGTGGGCGTCTGCGGTCCTGCCCAGCCCTGGCAGCCCCTCTTCGTGCGGCGGGGGTGAGCAGGAGGGAGCCTCGCTGTGGAGGAGGGCACTCATGAGCTCTGTGTGCAGGTGTCCTGTGCAGCCCACCCCCACCGCTGCCCGGCGACGGTCAGGACTCGCTGCACTGGCTACCCCACCTCGGCTGTCCTGGCGAAGGGCTGCCTGCTCCCTGCTGCACCGGCTGGGCGGGCCCTCCACGCACCTGCCCCTGGCATTCGCTTGGCTTCCTTTGCTCTGCAGGAACCCCGGAGCCCACGCAGGAGCCCACGCAGGAGCACACACTGGCCGATGGCTCTACCCAGTAGCCCCCCTTGTTGGAGACCCCAGCCTGGGAGTCAGACCTGCAGAACCTCATACTCTCGTACTCACTGCTGTGCGGAGGCCAAAATCTGCTGTCCTGGGGGGACGCCCACCCAGGGAGCCCCCAGGCCCAGGGTGGAATGGCTGCCATGTCCACCGATGAGCTGGGAGCGGGCCCATACCATCTCCAGGATTGCCAGTCTCTGGAGGGGACACCGGAGGTGGCAGAGGCCAGCACGGCGCCATCCAGCCCGGTTGAGGGCCTGTCCGTGGCTCAGGGAGAGGCTGGGGTCTCCCTGCATCCTCCTGGGGAAGCCCGAGATCATGACACCTGACAGCCCGGCAGGGACTCACTGCTGCACTCAGAGAGCGGCACATCCTCTGAGGTCCCAAAGGTGCCAGAGTATCCCCCTGTCCACGCAGACCCCAGGGGAGCCTGTGGCCCGGCTTCCCGCAGAGGGCGGGAAGGGAGTCAGGGCAGGGAGGGGAAGCAGAGCCACACGGGCAGCTTTCCCAGAGACCTGTATCTGGCTGGGCGGGGCAGCCACGTCCAAGGGCTGTGATGGTTTCCCCAACAAGCCCCCCGGGTTGTGCTGGGACTCGAAACAGGCCTGGGGTGCTGTTTTCTCTTGGGATGACGAGCAAAGTTAACTGTCAGGAACTTAAACAGGTTTTAAGGATACTCTTCAGAATTTAGGAATTATATTATAGGAAATAATAGAAATTAATTTTATTGGCAATCAACTTTAAGTCAGTCCTGGTAAATTTTACATTCTTGGGCTTCCGGTGGCTTTTTGGGGGGATGGGGAGGATTTGTGGCCAACCCCCACCCCCACCCCAATCTGAGCAGTCTGGTGCTGGCCCCTCGAGGCCCGTGTGCATGAGGCCTGGGTCTGGGGCTGCAGAACCGGCTCCCAAGCCCATCCCCGCCCCCTGGGGGGGCGGTGCTCGCCTGAGTCAGGCCTGCCATGGGCGGTGACCCTCTGTGGGTCCCGTGGCGGCCACCTGTTTTGCTGAGCAGTTTGCTGTGGCTCCAGTCTGAACCTGCGGGCCCCATGCCACACCACGACGGGCAGGCTTCCTGGAGGAGGCCTGCTCCCATGCAGGCTCCTTTACCTTCCACACCTGGTTCTGTAAGGGCCTGCCCCTCCCAGAGGAACTTACTTGTAAACCCCCGATGTAGGGGCAGGCCAGGCCGGATGAAGACGTCCAATCAGTGGGGCGCGTGTATATCCACTAGGGTGAATTGAAATTCGATTGGCCACCCGTGTGTGGGCGGGGCTAAACCACCCCTATAAAGGTTGGTCTGTGAGGCCGTTGGAGGCAGAAGAAGGAGAGTTGTCAGAGCTGACAGAGCCGTGAGAGCCGCCGGCAGCCCCGCGCCAGCAGCTTCGCCACCACAGAGGAGTGGCCCCGCCGCGAACAGCCACAGCGGCCCCAGCGGCCTTGCCGCCCTGAGCCTCGGCCCCGCCCTGAGCGGCCTCGCCACCCGGAATCGCGGCCCCACCGCGAGGGGCCTCGCCAGAGCGGCGTCATTCCGGGGAGCGGCCTCGTCGTCGAGTGGCCTCGTCCGGAGCGGCGGCCGCCTCTGGGGAGCAGCCTTGTCAGAGTGGCGTCATGG